ACCACCAATAGAGAAGACTTCAATTATATAAACTCCATAAGGCCCAGGAAGGAAAGTGGGGAAGTGGAAAATTATTATTACAAAAGAAAACAAATGAAGAAAAAGAAAAGAACCCTAGAAAATCGGGTCAATAAGAAGTACAAAAAAAAAAGATGGCAGAAATTAGTCTATATCTATAGGTAATTGTGATCAAAGTAAAAGATTTTTCAGTAAAATCAAAGGCTGTCAGACTTATGTAAAAATCTAGCTTTTTTTTCTTCCTTCAAGAGACATCTAAAGAATAACAACCTGGAGAAATTGAAAGGATAGAAAAAGCTATTCTAGGAAAATACTAACCGAAAGAAACCCAATTTACAAATATTATCAGTGGGGGAAAAAAACTTTAAGGCAAATTCATTATCTAGTCATTACATATTGATAAAAGGTTCAGTCACTAGAAGATATAACAATTCAAAATTTATATGCACCTAAAACATATCTTCTACATATATAAAGAAAAAAATGACCAATCGTGAAGAGAATTTGACAGTCATTGTAGTAGAACCTTAATATACCTCATTTTCAGTAAAGGTCAGGTAGACAAGAATAAAGATGTTAACAGTACAGTCAGTGAGACTGATAGAATTAACATATACTGAACACTACACCCAACGTAGCTGAAGATTTCATGAAAACACTGGCAAAATATGATGGCATTCTGACCATAAAGAAGACTCACCAGCTCTCACCAATTGGAATCATAGATCACAGAGCAGTTAAGTTGAAATCAGTAATTAAAAGATGACTTTTAAAAAGATACGCCTTTATGAAAAGTTAAAGAAGACCAAAATAAATGGAGAGACAATCCATGTTCTACAGCATGGGTAGAAACACCACATATCTTAATTCTGTTCATTCTTCCCAAAGTGAGGCACAAAATACAATAATACTATTACAACCAAAGTCTTGACTGGCTGTTTTAAATTTTCATATGAGAGAGCAAAAGCCAGGAGTCGCCAATATATTAAGAAAATATATGATAGGGAGATTTGTCCTGTGGACAGGAAGACCTGCAGTCGGGTGGTCCTAACTGAGACACTGTGGTTCGGGTGCAAGGGGAGACCAGGGCAGGTGGACCTGAACAGGGAGCCTGATCTGTGACCGAGATGTCAGGGTGGCCGGTCATCCACCTGGGAAAATGGATTTTTACAACATAACAACAACAACAAAATACTCCTTATGTATCCAGAAAAACGGCACTTTTAGAAGAAAATATAGTAGAATATTATTCTGTACACAAGTCAGGGAAGGGTTTCTTAAAACATAAACCATAAAATATCAATTAATTTGACTACAATAAATTTTAGAATTCTGTTTCTCTAAAGACACCGTAAGGAGGGTGAGGAAATGATCTTTTCAGCAGATGTAACTGAAGTCAGATTAGTATCTGAAATACATAAGGTGTTCTTGTGAATCACCAAAAATCAACCCAATAAAAAAAACAAAACAGACAAAAGACACAAGCAAGCATTTTACAGAAGAGAGACCTGAATGCATATCTAACCGCTTTGGTGATATATTTATTACCGTGAGAGGTAGTTGCATGGTATGTTTTGTGATAATTCATTGAGTTATTTATGGATATCTAAATTTTAGTAATCATCTGGGCTTGGTGTTTGTGTTTTTACGTCCTGACACAACACTAAGTGGAAACGACAAGCCATGGAGAAAGGCTATAATATACCTCCTCTGTTCCCTCCCTCCCTCTCCCTTCCTTGTGATTTGTAGCCACTGGTGGGAACTGGAAGTCTTTTTTTGTTTTTTAATGACAAAATATCTCAAAAAGTAGGAATTCCCCTTAGCACTTTGTTCTGCTTCCTCCTCTAAAAAATGTAGACATTGAGTCCCAAAGAGAGGAAGTGCTTGTCTAATTAAGGGCAGAGCCAAGACGAGAGGTGCCAGCTGATGTCTGCCTGTCAGTCCCTTTACCAGAGGTGTTTATCTAGGCATCTTGTGCTGGTCCAGCGCCTCCTCAAGGTGTCACTTTGCACTTGTGAGTGAGTGGGCATGAGGATTTATGTGCCATTGTGGCCATTGTTTCATAAAAAAGCGACACATACATTGCAGTGGGAATTGCTGAGTTTGGAGGTGTCAGACCCCTGGGTACAAGCAGAGCTGTGCCTGTAGCACACAGCTGGTGGCTCTGGAGCAGAGACTGCCTGATGCACCTCATCTCTTTAACCCCAGGGGGCGATGGAGAAACCCGTGGGCCTCCAGGGTTGGAGCCTGCGGACAGTGGGCGGGAAAGCTCTTGGTAGTTTCCATGACTGTTCACTCCAGTTAGACTGGGCAGCATTCAGAGCCTGCCATTTACACACATACATTCCCCCACTTTACAGATGGGGATGGTGGCTCCAGGACACCAGATGGTCCTGACTCCACAGAGCTGTCAGGGTTTGGCTGACTCAGGGGGGTTCTGCCTCCGGAGCCCAGTTCTTCCCTGCCAACAGACCAGTGCACAGCTCTGCACTCCTGGAGATTCAGGGACAGACAGGAGAGGGCCTGCTGTCATGGGAGCATGCCAGCCTGACTGTCAGACACGTGAGCAGGTGACAGGGAGTAAAGTAGTGGGACAGGAGCAGAAAACAGCCTGTCAGGACTTTTTGGCCTCCCTGCTGGCCCCACCCCCTGCACCAGGCTGCCCTCCCCATGTGAGTCTGCATGGAAATTCCAGTGCTGGTCAGACCCCAAAGCATGCCCCATCCTTGATGGCTGACTGCCCTGAGCAGGACAGGGCTGGCCTTCGCTCTCCAAGGTCACTTGTTTTCTCCGGAAGTGGCTTCCTTCACACCCTGGTAACTTATAGTTACCTCCTTGTGAGGAAACCTTAGCCCTAGTTTGAACTCTCCCATGTGGGTAGATTCAGGGCACAGCCCCCCCAAATGCCTCCATGACTCTTTGTGACTTGTGCATGGGGCACAGCTTTCTCAGCCCCAGGTCCATCAAGTGGAAGCTGGGGTTTGCAGAATCAGTCCAGCGAAGTCCCCAGGAGGCTGAGGATGGTCTTATACACTCTTTAGCCCTCATGCTCCAGGACACCTTTAGGTACTTGCTGTCTTTCTACAAGACACTCCGTCTTTCTACAAGGCACTTCCATGTCTCTGGGAAGAGGAGCTGTTGCTAGGCTGCCCGGCCATGCAGCTGGGTCTAGGCCTCTCTTCTGCATGGTTGCCTGGCCTCTCGGCATCTCACCTGAGGCACAAGGGGGTACAAGCCAAGTTTCACTGCTTGTTCTGTGATAGTGTCTCCTGGGTGTGCTCTCCTGGCACCTTTCTCAGGGGCTTTGATGCCTACCCACTCAGGTCACACTGTGCCTTGGGAAGTTAGGTCAAGGGGATATGTACCAGGCAGCAGGTGACTGTTGAACCCCAGCCCCTACTGTGACCTTGACCAGCACCACCTCATTGGGAACTCTTGGTAGTTCCCCTAACCTCTCCTCAGGAGTGTAGGCACAATAACTGCCTGGAATGGCCTCGTAGAGTCTGGAATGTGGCCAGTTGTCCCTGAGCAGACCCACCCACCCAAGTGCTGCAGGTCAAGAAGCACCGCAAGAGACAGGGAGACCCCTAGGAGAGGGAACAAGGCTGCATTTCAGGTGCACTTAGGATTTCCAGGAAGGAAAGAGGGAATCAGCCGACTCTGTAATGGAAATGCTGAGGAACAGTGTAGGAAGATAGGCCACCCACATCCCAGTGGTTCACATTGCCAAGGCTGTACCTCAAAGATGTGATCAGGAGGCCACAAGCTGGTCAGGGCCCTGCTTCACACCTCCTCACACTGAAACCCTGATCTGTGGAAGCAGGAGGTGGCCAGAATGACGGTCCAGCACACCACAAACCCCTGCACCCAGTGGCTGCCCCCGTAGGGCTGAAGGGCAAGGATGGGACAGAAGGCTCGGGGAGGGGGGCCATCTGGGGCCAGCAGTGAGCCTCCATGCACTGGGAAGAAGCATCTGGCATTTGTCTTAGTGCTGAAGGAGCCCAGATCCTGCAAGATGGGACGGATGTGGGTGCCTGGTCAGATTCTCATTATACCTGGGGATGCCAGCTCTGCTCTCTGAGGGTCCCCACCTACTGACCTCTGGGGGCTTCATGGAGGCCGCCATTCTTGCCTCTTGATGAGTCCAGCGTTGGCTTTGGAAGTTGTGCTGGGAGCATTCGGACTGGTCTTTCTGCTGGGAAAAGGTTCAGGGGTTGAGGACATTTCCCAGAATGTGCTGTCCTATCCTCAGAGGTATGTTTAGTTTTCATTTAAGAAATGAGGCTCAGATAAAATAACTAAATAAACTGTATTTCAAAGACCCCTCCCCCAAGACTAGTGGCTGAGGATAGGGGACAGAGAGCTGCCTACTCAGACACAGAGGGTACCAGTGCAGGGAGGCCTTTGGGTACTCTCACACACACCCTCCACAGAACCTTCCAATGCTACATCCTATCATCTCGGAGGTTACAGGAGGCCAAATGTGAGGCACAGCTAGCCCTGGGAGTGACCCAGGTTTAGCCCAGGAGTGGGCAGGGCAGGCTTGCAGAAGGGAGCATCACATGGATTTCCCACAGGTGCACATGAGCTCTGAGTGACAGCATGACTGTGAAGCTCTTAGAGGCCCAGCTGGTCCTGTTCTGTGGCTCTCAGACCCTCCCTATGAATCCCAGGGGCCCAGCAGCCTCCCCACTGACCTGGGGGTCATTTGTCCACTCAGGCCCACATGGTTGGGAAGTCTGACTGGTTCAGGCCACAGCTGCCAGGGAGCCAAGGAGAAGAAAGGGCTCAGTGCACCTGCTGACAACAGCCCATTGGTTTTCCCAGGCCAAGTCCTTGAGTTCTGCTGCGTCTGCCATGTGTTCGCATGGCCCCTCTTTATCTCTTATTTGTACAGAGTTCTGTTACTGCCTTTTTAATTTGGTGTGACTTGTACTCGATGACAATAACCTTCTTAGCTCTCATGTCCCTCCTACCCCCAGCAGTTGACCAAGCTCCACCAGTTGGCCATGCAGCAAACCCCCTTTCCTCCCCTCGGACAGACCAACCCCGCTTTCCCCGGTACGTACCCAGCTGCCCTTTCTGACCTCCTCTCTTCTCACCTGGGGACTTTCTCTCTCTGAACTGGCTTTATTCAGGGTCGTGAGCAGAGCAGGTACAGTTCTAGTTGTGAATGCCAAGGGTGTGTTAACATGTGTCAGTGTGCACATTGCTGCAGGCCAGGCAGGAGGCCTCTCTGTGTCCCCTGAGAGGGTTAGTCACCTGACAGCTGGACATCTTATGAGAAGGGACATCTGCCCCATCGAGGGTCTGCCTGTTCCCTGCTGTCCTCGGGCATTCTGGGGGCCCCTTCCTGTTGGACGTGTCCATCTGGCCTGCCCTGGAGCCTGTTCTGTCCAGGAGCAAGAACTCAGACAAGCACATGAGGATGCTCTTCCAGTGCACATCGCAGGAGTGACACCCAACAGGATGGCACATGCCCTGCCCCTGGGAAAACCGAGATAAGCCAGACCCCAGCCCAGCGCATAGCGGTCCTCAGCTCCCCTCTGAGCACCGAGGCAGGGGTGGGTTCCTTCCGATGACACACACAGAGCATCGCCTTGGCAGCCGTGGCAGATGAGAGCCCATCAGACGTGCTGGGCTGCCATGCGCCAGTCAGACTTTGAGCTTCCCTAGTTGAAGTGACCTTGCTTATCTCCTTGAGGGCAAAACATTAAATTTGTTTCTTCTTTGCTCTCCAGGAGAAAAGCTGCCTTTACACTCCTCCGAAGAAGCTCAAAATCTGATGGGCCCGTCGTCAGGTAAAACAAAGCGCTCTAGTGAAGAGCGGAGGCCTGGGCTCCGGGGGCACAACTGGGGGAGGAGGGGACAGCCAGTGCCTTGGCAAGGGAAGGCCCATGTTGTGGAGACGGCGTCTGTGTGCCCACCACCTTCACATCCCTAGTTCCCAGCTTCTGCCTTGGTCACTGCTGGGAGTGATATGGTGGGCCTTGGGCTCCAGCAGTGCCCATCGTCCAAAGTCCTTGAACAAGACAGAGCCACCGTCTGTGTTGTCATTTATTCTCCTAGTGGCACAGCGTGTGGGGGTCTGTAATGCAGACTTTGCTATGATGTGTGCCTTCCCAAAACGTATTTTCTAGGAGGCAGGAGCACACCTTCACTGATAAGAATACTCTGGTCACCCCTTCTGATTTGAATTAAAATGGCCCTGGGATAGTGCAGGGCAGGGCAGAGAATTATAGGTCCCATTACCCAGGGCAAGGAGCAGTGAGGCCACTGGAAGCCTGTGGCCTGGCATAGTGGGTATCCTCTGAGGAAGGGGCTACCCACTCCCCCTGGAAATCCTGGAACAGAGCAGAAGAGCAAGTGTCCAGTTAAAGGAAAGGTGCAGGAGAGGAGCGTTTCCAGTGGGGTTGGCTGTCAGCCCAGGGGTGTGTTCTGGGCCCCAGGGTGCAGCTGAGGCTGAAGGAAGCCCCAAGACTTCATCACAGGCTGCATCTGGGCCCATCTTTGCACCCTGGGACTCACAGGAGTCTTGAGGCTCCCACCTCCCCCCAGGGCCCCTCCCCAAGGCCTTCAGGCCTCAGGGACAGGGGACGCACACCTCCCTGTGGTGACCTCCCTCCCCAAGGCCTTATGGGACCAGAAGCTCATACGCTCTCAGGCATACACACATTTGCACGCATTTCACATGCATGCATATGCGTGCATTGCAGCAGATTAAGCCAGGTGAGCGTGAGGAGAGGCATTGACTTGTTTGACAGGCCCCTGAAGGCTGATGCCAGCATTGCTTCCAGAGCAGGCTCGGGTTGTGTTGGGGAAGCATGGTTCTTGTCCCAGACAGGGGATGTCATCATCTTAGGGGAGAGACACCCACCCTGGGCACAGAGCACTGACACACAGAAATACGAGTTTTAAATGCCATGTCTTCACATTATTAGTTCAGTTTTACTTTCCTCTTGAAAAGAAATCTGATACCTTTCTCTCCTTGATAAAAATTGACCATGTTGAACAAACAGGACTCCCGGCTTTATGTCCATCCCAAGCCAGGCTGCTAGGAGTTCCTGTGTAGGACTCAGACAGGACTGAGGAAATCTCTTAAATGACGTTTTAAATGTCACTATTTATAGAATGTGTATTGATGGTTGAACACCAAATAATTGTATTGAAAATACCTTTATTAAAAGAAGGTAAAGAACAGAAACTCTAGGTTTAGCTTTTACAAAATAAAAATGACAGACAATTCTGGATGAACGGTTCATGCAGCATCTTCCATGTGAGTCCCCATGCTCAGCAGTTCCCCAGGACAGTCCCATCCTCACAGGGCCACTCACGGCAGTGAGACAGATGGTCGCAGTACATCTGGTTTTGGAAACACAGGTGTTGTGGAGGAAGAAACAGGAAGAGGGGTGGGGACTAGGAGAGGGTAGGAGGTGAGACTGGGCACAAGCCAGCCCTGGGTCCAGTGTCGGGGAGCATGGACCGGTGTCTGGGGGCACAGGGAAGAAGCTGGAACCCTTGGCGGGTTTTGAGTCTTGAAGGCATCTAATCTGCGTTCTGTCGGGACCTCTCTGGGCCATACTGAGAGGCAAGGGCAGAGGAAGGGACCAGTGTGGGGTGGAGGGCTCAGGTTCTGGAATATTCTGAAGGTACATGAGCCTGGTCTTTGTAGTTAGCTGTAGGTGGCAAGAAGGGGTGGAGCCAGAGGGCTTCAGGGTCTGGGCTGAGCTGTGTCACCCGAGATGCTGGGACCACATGGGGCCAGGAGCAAGAGGAGCAGGGTCTCAGCTGTGGACTTCAGGTCTGGTATGTCTCCTGAGGACATGGAAGTGCGGCATGCAGGGAGCCAGTCTGCCTTGGGCCTCTGTCTCCACTGGTTTTCCCACTCCAGTCCCCCTCTGCATTTTGTTGTCACTGTTTTCAAAGCAAGGGTAGATCTTGTCTTGACTTCTGATAAGCTGTCTTGATTTGCTGGGTCCTAAACTGAGATTTGTCAAGATAAAGATTGGGGTTTGGTGACAAATTAGGCCTGTGTCTTCATCTCCTAATAGGACACCCATATAGAAATGCAGTCTTCCAGCAACCCAGCAGACTATTTTGGAATCAGCGAGGCACCAGACTGGAAGAACTGCATGCTGGGCCTGGGCTGCTGGGACTTGAAGCAGGCTGGGTAGCTGCCTTTGGGGAGCGTAGCGTCAGAGGCAGCTGACACCACAGCGGAGCTGGTGGCCAGCAGAGGGGGCTGAGCACTGTTTGGTCAGGGAGAAGGAAGAGCAGAGGGAACAGAACCCATGGAAGACAGGCACCAGGGTCGCAGGGTTGCGCCCTGGGGACCCCATGGAGTCTCTAAGACACAGCCACACCCCGAGAGCTGCTTAGCATGATGCTTTCTGTGTGCCTGTGAACGGTTTCAAGAGATGTCCCTCCATGTGGCAGAGGAGGGACATCATGATATGCCCAAAAGGAGAAAGTGAAACGTTGTTCTGCTGGGTTTCATTTTCCTTGTTTTGAGAGAAGCTGGGACTCGGGGATTGCACTGCAGTAGAGTGAAGAGCTCACAGGGCCCTCGGCCTCCAGCTGCACTGACTCTACCCCTCAAGCCAGCCCCTGGCCCTGCCCGGCCTGTGTGGGCCGAGTGTGCATCGGGCACTGGGGTGCTATGGGAGCAGCCTTCCACCAGCCTAACCGTGTACCCTTGGTGTGCCCAGGTCTGGATGCCAGCCCCCCGGCCAGCACTCACGAGCTCACCATTCCCAATGATGTGAGTATGCCCGAGCCCTCTTGACCCTATTTATGACCTCCCCCTTCCTTCCCATGTTAAGCAGTTTAATACCCATAAAAGCCCCTGAGATACCAGATTAGAAAGGAACAAACAGGGGTCTTCAAGGTTTACCTAGAATTCAGAAGCCAGAGCTGGCTGGGAAGCTGAGGGCCCCACTGTCCCCATGTGAAGGCACTGCCCTGGTTGAGGGTTGGTCTTTGAAGAATGGGGGCCCCGGGATGGTCTGGCGTGGCCCTGTCCTGTGCCCCCTGGGTCTCTGAAAGGTTTGGGGTTTTCTGTGAGTCTGCGGGACGTGGGGATGTGGCGGGTTTGTCTGGATTCCTGGATGTGGTGTCCACCGTCTGTTCCTGCCTGGGCTCAGCTGAGGGCGTGGCCTTTTGAGCTCCCTTCACATTCAGTCCTCTCGGCACCACCCTCTGAAACCATGGACCAGCCTAAGAATGCTGACTCGGATCCCCAACCCAAGACACAAAGGCAGATGTGGGCCATGTGTCCTGGAGGGGCGGTTGTCCTGAGCAACGCAGAAAGGCTGCCATGTGGGGGGCACGGGCTTTCTTGCCCTAGAACTACAGCCTTCGGTAACCTTCACTGCTTTTCACCTCACACCAGCCCAGGGGGAAATCCTCTTCGCTTCAGTAGACGAACCACAGGAAGCACAGACTTGTGACCTCAGGAGGTGGCCTGCTCTTAGTGTAAGAGGGGTTGGGAGTGGGACACTTGGACAGGCCGGCCCTCCAGAAGGACTACTCTCACCAAGGCCCCTCGTGCAGCTGCAGGCCAGACTCCTGCATCGGGTGATGTGGCTCTTCCTTCTCAAATGGAGACGGTTTCTGCTTTCAAGGCTCCAGACATGTTCTCCCGTGTGGCTGGTCCTCGAGTGGCGGCTCTGGGCAGCCTGCGAGTCTTTTTACCCACACCATACGTGCAGGTGGCCTCTGCTCTGGGCGTCCCCCTTCGGTAGCCTTTCCCTAAAACACCATTTCACCAATGCCAGGTATCCTGCTCTGATGTGGACCTTTGTTTTAAATCCAAATGAACCTAAAGGGCAAGGGGATAAGCTTGTACGGAGATGTTTCCTGGGTCCCCTCCCAGTGCATGGCCACCACCCTCCTGCTGGGGGAGCTCCTCAGGAAGTGGGTGCCTTCTGGAGCCTGTGTGCCCTGCAGAGCACGCTCGACCCTTCCTGGCAAAGGATCTCATGCAGGGAACGTGTCCCCCCTAGGCCTCCTGCCACTTTGGAGAGAGAAGGAAGTAGAATGTGTCTCTTGGGACACTTGCCTGTCATCTTGTCCATTTTTGTCTCTTGGTCAAAGTAAAATCAGACTAAGGGAAATTGTGCTGACACCTACATGTCACCATGACTTACCTGCAAATGAATGTGGTGACCAAAATGATGCACAGGATCCACGACACAGCCAGCCAGCCCTTGTGGCCATGGGGACCCAGGCCAGGTCAGGGCTGAGAGCCGTGCGTGGAACTGCCCCCAGCAGCTGGCAGCCTTGTGTTCCATCTGTGATGGTCACTGCTGTGCCCTCACTGCCTGTTGCACAGCTTGCCTCGCTCATGTCACTGTGCCTGTGGTGTCCCCATGCTCGGGCCCCTTCTGCTGGGACAGGGAACCTTAGGGCTCACACAGGCAGCGGAGGAGGTGTGGTAGGGTAGGTATGCCCCTTGGTTTCTGTGGGGTTTGGCTTGGAGGTCTGGTTAGGAGGGGGCTATGTTATTTGGGAGTTCCTGTCGTCTTTCAAATGTCCAGTGGGGCACAAAAGGCTTAGAGGAGGGCTGGTCTCTGGACTGAACGTCTGAGGAGCCCGGTGAGCCAGAGGAGCTGTGTGACAGGGCAGCCTTGGCTTGCAGGGCTGGACTAGCATGCCTTCCACCAAAGGAGCCAGTCTAGGCCCGGGCTGGTGCGGACTTCGCACTTCGTCCAGATTAGAGAGGCCTGTGACTTCTCACACCCCCCTCTCGCTGCTTAGAAGAGTCTTACGCTCAGCCAGGTGTCAGTGTCAGGGGGCTGCGCTGACAGCTGTGGTTTCTCATTAGCACTCAGACAGCACAGTTTTATCTGGGAGGGAGTTGTTTCCCATCAGCCACGGACGGGTGGGTGGAGAGCGGCTAAGGGGCCCTTGGGTGTGAGGTCTCAGGGAAGGGCCATGCCCTGAGGCGGAGGGGAAGAGAGGGCTGGGTGTGAGAACGTTTTCAGCAAGAAAATGGAAAGACAGACGTGTTTAAGAGAACTAGGGACGGAGACATGCCAGAGGGAATCTTCCTCAGATGGCTTACTGGAGCAGAAACGGGCAGCCTGTGCAGCAGGCGTGAAGCACTGCGTGGGCCGGGCAGGGCACTCACACTGAGGTGCAAAGGTACTAGAAGGGAAAGTGGGCTGCCAGACGGTTGGTTTCTAGTGGCCAAGGAAGGTGTGAGGACAGGGGGAGGACAAGGGGAGGACCAAGTCAGGGCAGGAAGCTCAGGTGGACTCCTGAGTGCCCGCGTCTTCAGGGAACTTAGCTGGCCCCACATTCTCCTTCCAGTTCTGCTGCCCCCGTGCCCGCTGCAGCAGGCCTGCCGGTCAAATCACCTGCCTTGACTGCCCCTGGTCAGTGAGGAGCCCTCAAGATTTCTCTGCTAGTGGGAGGGTGACAGGGAAGAGCAAGTCAAGGATCTCAGGCTGGTAACTCCGGAAGTCACGGTCCCTAACCTCAGGGCCAGGCACAGAGTAGTAAGGGAGGACACTGGTGAGAGATGGGCAGAGCCTGGGGAGGTAGGTGGGCCCAGGGCTGTGTGGGCAGGGCCTGGGGAGATGTAGGTAGAGTTTGGGGGACTTAGGCAGGAGGTGGAGGAAGCTGAGCAGCTTGGGGACAGAGGTTTGTCTGGACATTGGGCGGGGGGGCTGTGTTAAGGTCTACTGTGGCAGTTGGTCTAATATAGGAGAGTAGCAGAGATGTGTTGCGCGTGGGTCACCGGCTAGCAGTGACCACGGCACACTGTGGATGGCTCGACAATACGCGAGAAAAAACACACATGCACAGAGACAAACCAGTTTCTGTGGGGAAGTAGGGGACAGAATGGCCACCCCCCTAGTGGGGAGCGCCTGATTTACCGTCCATACCTGCTTTTATTGGGCTCATGCTACATAATAACTCAGGTAACGTACAATACTCATTAGGGGAAGTAAGGAATATAGGAAACAAAGAACTCTGCCGGTCTATTGAGTTGGGGGTCAAAGAGCTGTAAGGCTGAGGAACAAACTAGCTTCCTCCTAAGACCCTCCTCATTCAACTGAGAGCATTCTTGAACAAAGAAGGTTTCACAGTAATTTACATGTTCTTTCTTAGGCCTGATCACCCCGGGAAATCCGCACTTCCCAGTACCGAACTGTACTTCCCCGTCATTGTTTCAGGCTTAGGTGGAGCGCGGGAACTAAAGCCACCGAGAGATAAGGAGATTTTCTTCCGGACGCTGAGAACTCAGACTTTGTCAAAGCCGAGAGTGAGGGTCCATCACCCCCTTTTGCTGCAGCCCCCCAAGTCCTTCTTTTGGGGGGCCTCCCAAAAGTGATCGTGCCTGGCTTGGGTTGTTCCCCCGTGGGGAATCTTACCCGTCTTTGGCTAACCGACCAAGCTTTTGGGGTTCAGCAGCAGAAACAGCATTACTGCCAGGAAGATTAGCTTTTGTCTCCTTGCTGGCTCACGGTTCCAAGGGCGTTCCCTGAGCCTTAGCCTAGGCGGGGGTCTCAGTTTCTGATACCAGTCAGGGCGGTTCCCAACAGAGATGGCCTTACAGATAAGCAGAACTGAGATGCTGTAAGTCACCTCAGGGAAAAGAGGTAGTTGAAATGCACCTGTGTCCCTGGTGAGCTGGTGTCATCGCACAGGTTCAGAATCCCTTCATTTGGAAATGGATTTCCTCCAGCCTAGCCCCAAACCCTGCACCTGCTGCCTCACTGACATAAGAAATCAGAACTTCTATCACAAGTGCTGATACCCCCGCCCAGGCTGCCACAGGAGAGGTGGCTAGGAAACCACCTGCACAGGCCCCACTTTCCAGCTTCTTCTCTCTGTGCTCCTGCTGGGAGCTCTCACTAATAGCCCCTGTGTGAATGAAAGGACTCAGTTCTGTCCATGGACTCAGACTTCCATGTGCAGCAGGGTGGGCTGGGAGAGGCTACGGAGAGCGGGTCCTGACCTCAGGCTGCACTCTGGTCCCACACGGGGCTATTCTGGGTCCCAGGGACACCCTGGCTCTGGTCCTTCTGGCTCCTTCATTCTCCATGACCATCTCCGCCTTCAGCCAGCTGAGTGGCCAGAGGCTACTGCATTCATCCTTGAACAGAGGTCACAGGATGGGAAGGAAAGAGAGCATCTGATATGTCCTCAGAATTTCATCCAAGTTTATCAAAAGACAGGTTATAAGTAGCAGTGAGCTTTACTCTGCTTTCAGACAAACATCCCACCACTTTGAGAACCCAGCCAAGAAGATGGCAACATGGCCTTAGCCTTGGTGCTGGTGTTGGGCCGCTGGGCTCCACATCTCTCAGGCCCCCAAAGGACACTGGGCAAGTGACAGCCATGTTGCTCCCCAATCTCCTGATTTGTTGAGACAGCTTGCAAATAGGTCACCAAGCAGAGCCCTGGTGCCCACACCTCCCATCCCTTCCACAGGGAGGCAGTGCCTCTTCCTTCCAGAAGCAAGGAGTTGGTGGCATGGGGTGGAGACCAAGGCTGGGCCACCCACCAGCTTCCCCCAGGGCTCTGCACACTCTGCTCAGGGCCGCCATGGGTTCTTCTCTAAGAAATTCCTCCATCCTTTTTTCTAGCTAATAGGCTGTATAATTGGACGCCAAGGGACCAAAATCAATGAAATTCGACAGATGTCTGGAGCTCAGATCAAAATCGCCAATGCTACAGAAGGGTCATCAGAGCGCCAGATCACCATCACAGGGACCCCAGCCAACATCAGCCTTGCTCAGTACCTCATCAATGCCAGGTGAGTGCGGTCAGTGGCCAGGGCACTCGGAGACTGGGTGTAGAGTGGGCCTCCCCAGGGCAGCTTTTTCCTCGCCAGGCCTAGCATGGAAGGTGCTGGAGAGTCTCCACACAGACATGGGGCCTTTCCCACTTCACCTTTCACCCTGAAGGATCTTCAGTGAGGGCCTAGGTGGGATTAGAGGCAAGAGTATTTTCAGGAAGGCAGTGGCTACGCCATCCAGGGCCTAGGGTCAGCCATATACCTGGGTTGAGATTCAGCATAAAGGGCCCTATAGTTTCAGAGACATGTTACTAGGTTATTCTGCTCTTACGTCATGTGTTGTAAAGACCCCCCAAACCTAGACACTTGCAGAGTAGTGCATTAGGGAACTGTGCGAGTGTTCAATGTTACAAGTTGGGGGAGGTAGGGTCCTGTATCCAGCCAGGGCACATGGTGAGGAGCCCAGAGCAGCGGACAACTCTTCTGACTATTCCTGGGCCACTCACCTTGGCCTCCCTGCCCAGGGCACATTGGAAAACATGGTGTGACCACAGGGAGATGGGACCTCAAGGGGGCAGGAAGGCATCCTGCCTCTCCTCCACCTGGGGCCACACCCTCCTCCCTATCCCACAATGTTGGGGGAGCTGGAGGGAGACCCAGGGTAGACAGAGAGGCAGCCCCTGTGGGCAGTGTGACTCCAGCGCCCCTCCCTGAATGGTTGCCATAGAAGTGGTTGTGATGGCCTCTGACTGTCCAGGTGGTTCTGGTCGTGCCTGTAATATGGTGACAGGCATGGGGCATTGGGGTGGGGAGGCTGTGAGCCTGGGAAGGAAGAACCCCTGGATCTGGTCCCTGCTGGTCCTTTTCCTTCTGCTGGGCTGTTGTCTCCAGCTCAGGGCTGCTGAGCAGTGACCTGAGACTCTCGGTCCCATAAAAAGGGAGACATTTGCCAAAGCTGTGAGGATGCCACAGAACGATGCATTCCCAGTATGATCTCATTTTATAAGAACGCTGTGACCTGTCTCCCTGTGCCTCTGTCTCTTCCAGGCTGACGTCTGAGGTCACTGGGATGGGCGCACTCTAATCCTGCCCAGCAACCGCCACACCACGAACCCTGGCATCCACCTGGTTCACACACCCTGTACAGACAGCCCACCCTTCGCCACAAATACAAATAGAGGTTTTCTTTACTAACAGAATGGTCTATGCCATAGAGGTTCACACGTCGACAGAGCAAGTCTATATCTACAGCTGCCTGTGAGCTGCAGGCCCATCCCTGACTCCGCTCGCTCAGTAACTCCTGCTCCAGTCTGCTCACACGTCCGCATGCAGCACTTACTATGTTCCGTGCTTGGGGGCGTTCCCATCTATGACATTTTAGAGTATCGTTCCTTAGTGTCAGTATAACTGTTTTAAGAGTTGGTTTAAACATTTTGACAGCACATCCTATAAGCCGTCCTCTCCTCAACCATCTAGACCCGTGGCTGCCCCGCCCTCACCTGGCCCCACCGCCCACTTTGTTTCCCCTCGCAGCCTTGCTTGTCTTGGCCCATGTGTCCATGCAGGTCTTGTGCTGGAGTCAGGCTGTGCCCTTCCCCTTGTTCTTAGGGAAGCAAAAGAGGGTGCCAGGTCCTGATCTGAGGAGTGATGTGAAGGGGGGTGCTAGGCCCTGATGTCACAGAGATGTCATGTGTGGGGCGGCCACACATGGGCCCTGGGCGGCTTCCGGGTGGTTGGAGGGCATGGACTGACCAGGAAGCGCCTCAGCACCATGTCCGAGTTCAATAAATGTCGTGGGCTGTCCCCACTGGCTCTGGCTCCTCTCTGTGCCCCTCGCTCAGACCCCCTCGTGGGTATGCACACATGCTCATGTGCACACACACATGCACATATGCCTGGTCACACACCCCTGAGACCTGGCCCTGTGGCCACCTGCTGTCTAACAAAGCTGATTGTCTCACACAAATTAAGACTTTGTCCCCTGTCTCCCAACCCTTTCTTAATTGTTTGACTTGCGCAGGTCTTTCTAGTGTTACATTTGCAAAGCTACTTACATGACAATAATGGAAGATAAGGGAAACTCCATTCTTGCCCTCGTTCCAAAGTGCCAATTTCTAACTTGTGAAACAGTTCTCCCACTGTCTTTGTGGGCGTGGGAGGCTGGACCACCCACGGTGATCCCAGACACTGCCCAAGGTGTACATTCACACTGCCACCGAACTGTCAGCTTGGCTTACCTGTGCTCACCTTGAATGAGCCCACAGCTCCTCTTGGATGCTAAAGCCCTGGTTGGGACACAGGTCCCGGGCAGAGGGCGACTCACAGACGTACAAAGACCGTTTACCTCTCCTTGAACCCATCAAGCATGCAGTGGCTGGGGTGGTCTGCCCACCACTCACCTCTTAGCAGGAGCACCCTTTCTGTCTGCCCAAACTCTGGCTGGACCTTGGGCGCCCGCCCTGTGTGCCCAGGCCTCTGGGACATGCTTCCTTCGCCATCCCTGGAGTCCCCTGGTTGAAGCTGGGTGCACAGAATGGCAGCACCAGGCCACGCTGCACATCGGATGGTTTAAATCCATGCAATTCACCCTCCCCTGGACCCCCTGGCCACGTGCCAACCAACACTTGGGGCCTGGAAAGTGGCAGGGATGCGGTGGACACAGGCCTTCCTCTGGGCACCCCCATCAGTATGGGGGCAGCAGGTGGCCAGTAGACAAGGTGAGTAAGTGCCTCAGAAAGCAATAGATGTGATAAACCCAGTAATGAGGAGCGCATCGGAAAATCAGAAGTGCAGGGTTACACGGGCGACAAGGTGAGCCCAAGAAGCTGTGGCCCAGGTGGGCCTGGATGGAGAACAGCAGGTGAAGGGGCAGCTGGAGCCAGGGCTGGGCACCAGAGCTGGTGCAGGTAACACGAGGGCATGGGGCACAGGCTCTGAAGGCTGCGGGCACTGCAGGAGGTGGGGCCGGGCCAGGGAGCGTGGGCCCTGGAGGCATTTTGAAGGAAGAACCAACAGAATTCCTCACAGAATGCAGGCTGTGGAAGAAAGGGTCTAGGCAGACAGGGGGCTCTCAGTCTGGGGAGGCCGCTGGTGAGGTGTGGGACAGTGGGGGAAGGGCGGGGACAGGGTGGTATGCTAGCCCACCATGGAGGTGTGACTGGTCTGGTGGGGAGGGAAGCCCAGGAGCAATTTGGGGAGTGAGTGCCAAGGGGTCTCCATGCAGGATGTCCTGCAGGAGTCAGCACATGGGGTAGGGGAGTGGGGGCAGGGGCTGTGCCCAGATGGGATGACCCTGTGCCAGGTAGGTCACCTACTCCAGGTGATGCCCGGCATCCTGAGGTGAGGGGTGTTGTCAGGGTGGGCTTACCCTTGAGTAGACACTACAAATAAAACTGCTACGAACACTCATATACAAAACCCAGTGTGGACATGTTTTTGCATTTCTTGCGGGTAGATACCTAGGAGTGAAGTGGCTGGATCATATGGTAGGTGTATGTTTAACCATTTAAGAAACTTCTAACCTGTTTTCTACAGTGGTTGTACCGTTCCACACTCCCCCACCTGTGTGGGAGTGCCAGCCCCCCCCCCCCACCACCACCACACACACGCCCTCAGCAGCCTCTGCCAGCTCAGTCTTTGATTCCAGCATCTCCGTCTCCGTCTCCGTGAGTGCGGAGTGGCGCCCGGCTGTGGTTTTCATTTGCATTTCCGGTGACTAATGATGTTGAGCATTTTTCCATGTGCGTATTTGCCATCTGTTTCTTCTTTACTGAAGTGTTTGTTCAAATCTTTTGCCCATTTTAAAATTTGGTTTTCTTAGTTTTGTGAGTTCTTAATATATTCTGCATATTCATTCTAAAGTACATGCTTTGCAAACATTTTCTTCCAGTCTGTAGCTTGTCTTTTCATTCTCTTAATGATGTCTTTTGAAGAACAAAAGTTTTCAACTTTGATGAAGTCCCAACTGTTAATTTCTTCTTTTATGGGTTGTGCTTTTAGTGTCATAGTTAAGAAATCTTTGACCCCAAATCACAAAGATTTTCTCATTTTTCTCTTCTAGAGGTTTTGTCATTTCCCCTCTGTATTGCCTTTGCACCTTATCAAAACTCAGTTCCCCGTGTATGTGTGGGTCTGCTTCTACCCTCCGTGTTCTGTTCCACTGGTCTGTTTGTCTGTCTTTATGCCAGCACCACACTGTCTTAACCACTGGAGCCATGTAAGTCTCGAAATCAGATAACAGTGTTCTTTCCAACGTTGTTTTGACTATTATTCTAGGTCCTTTTTGTGTTTCCATATGAATGTTGGAATCAGCTGCTAATTTCCCACAAAAAAAACCTGCTGGAGTTTGGGTTGAGATGGTGTGGACCCATAATTAAGTCAATGATAATTACAACTTTAACAATAAAGAGTTATTTAACCCATGAACAGGTGTATCTTTCCATTTTTTTCTATTTTACTTTCTTTTAACAATGTTTATATTTGTCAGTGTACAGGTTTACAAATATTTTGTCAGACTTATCCTGAAGTATCTCGTATTTTCTATACTGTTTAAAATTTTAACTTTAGCTTATACTTGTTCATTGTCAATATATAGAAATACAATTGATTTGTGTGTATTAATCTTGTATCTTACAACCTGTGCAACACACTACAATTGTGAATTTGTCTATTTCTCCTTGCATTTCTGTTTTCACTTTGTTTTGAAACTATTGTTAGGTGCATAAATGTTTGGTGTTGTTATGTCCTCTAGATCAATTAACTCCTTTATTATGAAATTGCCCTCTTTGCCTCTAATATTACTCTCTTCTCTGATATCCACATTGTCTGATATTAACACAGTCACTATAGCCTTCCGTATATTAGTGTTAGCATGGTATGTTTTCTCCACCCTTTTTACTTTTACCCTAGTTGTGTCTTATATTTAAAATTAGTTGCCTTTTTAATCCAGTCTGATCATCTCTTTCCATTGGAATATTTAGAACATTTCCAATGATTATTGATATATTCAACATGAATATTGATATATATAGATTTAAGTCTGTCATATAGCTATCCTGCCTTTGTTCCTTTTTTCATTTTCTGACTTTTTCTGGATTCACCTAATATTTTTATGATTCCATTAGATCCTTTGTTGGCTTATTAGCTATAACTCTTTGTTATTTTGATTTAGGATTTGTAAATGTCTCACAATCTACCTTCAGGCGATATACTACTTCAGAACATGCACATGTAAGAAACTTAAAAGAGCCTCCTTTCACCTCTCCCCTCATGGCGTTTATACTCTTGTGTTGCATTTGAATTATACATGTGTTATAAACTTCGCATTATGTTGTTGCTATTTTTATAAAAATTTATCTTGCCCTGGCTGGCGTAGCTCAGTGGATTGAGTGCAGAGTGCGAACCAGGCATCGCAGGTTCGATTCCCAGTCAGGGCACATGCCTGGGTTGCAGGCCATGACCCCCAGCAACCGCACATTGATGTGTGTCTGTCTCTCTCTCTCTTTCTCTCTCTCTCTCTTTCTCTCTCCCTTTCCTCTCTAAAAATAAATAAATCTTTAAAAAAATTTATCTCATATTTTTAAAAGATTTTATAAGAAAACATCTTAAATATTTACCCATATAGTTACCGTTTTCAATGCTTTTCACCTCTTTGTGCAGATCCAGATTTCTGCCTGGTACTCTTTTCTTTCGCCTGTGGGCAGTCTGTACCACATCCTATAGTTCAGGTCTGCTGGTGAAGAGTTCTTTCAGGAACGTGTGTGTGGAAAAGTCTTTACTTAACCTTTACTTCCGACAGGTTTGCTTGGGTTTTGTTTGTTCAGCACCTCATAGGTGTTGCTCCACTGTCTTCTCATTCACATTGTGTCCAACAAAAAGTTTGCAGTGTGTCTTTTTTTTTTTTGTACTGGCTGTTTTTAAAATCTTTCTCTTTATTGATGGTTTGAGCCATTAGTTTATGGTGTGCCTTATTATAATTTCTCAAATGTCTCATGCTTGTGGTTTCTTGAGCTGCTGGGACCTATATGGTTGATAGTTTTCATCAATTGAGGATACTTTCAGCCATTATTTCTTAAAATATGTTTTATGCCCGCCCCTTCCATGTCCTTCTGTCCTTTAGGGCCTCCAATTACACATATATCAGACCACTTGAAGTTTTCTCACAGCTCGCTGCTGCGCTCTTTATTTTTTTAATTCATTTTTCTCTGAGTTTTATTTTGGATTGTTTATAGCAACGCCTTCAAGTTCATCTTTTCTACAGAGTTACTCATCTGTCATCCCCTCCGGTCCTTCCAGATGTTGTTTTCCTCTCCTTGAGTACTTTCTGTACACACATGTGTTGATCAAGATTCCGCTAAATATTGAAGAGGGGCTACCAGCAGGTCTGAGGTTCTCTCTTCATACCGCTCTGTTCTTTTCAGCACTCTCCCCTGCAAACACACACTGCCTTGACCTCGCCCGAGTTTCAGCTCTCCTCCGTTAGAGGAACCCTCCAAGCACCGTAGCCTGGAAAATCCCCAGTTAACTGGGCAATTGCAGGAATTACTGCTTTGCTTCCTTTCTCTCTCTGGGATGCACTGTCCTTTATCGCCCCACATCCAAAGTGTTCAAAATCATTGTCTCATATATTTTGTTTTTGTTTTGTTTTGTCTTGTTTCAGGCAGGAATATAAATCTTCCTTGTTATTTCATCTTGGTAAGAAGCAGTTGTCTCTGGTTTGTTTATTTTGTCTACCCTTGCATTTTATACACATTTTCCCATTCAATTAATTCTTCATCAACTGTTTCTAATAAATTAATCATTGTTTATTTCATGTCTACATTT